AATTTAAAACAACCATTTTTTTCACAAACAACGAAAATAATTAAAACTTGAAATACAACCTGTACCAGTGAAATAAAAAGAAAAAGAAAAGATTTAACTCATAGTCCTAGATTGAGCTTGTTTGGCACCTGTCCAATCTAAACCCAATTCAGTTCGATTTATCCATTTAAAATATATTTATTAATATATACTTTAAACTATTTTATATTAATATTTTTAAATATATTTAAAATTTCAAAAATAATTATTCACTAATAAAAAGCATATTGCTCTAAAAATTATTTAAGTAAAATTTAAATAAACTTATTATTTTTTATTACGTTCAACCAAACCCTTATACATTTATTTTGAATTAAATAAATCTTTTTAATTAATGATTGACTAATTATCATTAGTTATAAAACCTTTTATCATTTTTACGTTCACAGACATGACGTTGATATGAAAAGTGAAAAATACTGTATGGTCATGTTATTATGTTATATTAATATATCTTGTTATCATCAATTATGATATATTAACATACCACATCATTATCAAGTATAATATGTTAGTATGTTATGTCAGTATCACATAACACAGAATGACAAATGGTATTTTTATTAAGTTAATCATTAACTATAAAAACTTATTTAATTTAAATTAAAAATACAAAAATTTATTTATTTCAAAATAAAAAAATAAAAACTTCATTGAATATAATAAAAATATAAAATTTATTTAAAATTTCCTAAATAATTTAATAAGTTTTATAAATATTATAACATAATAAAATAATCTCATAAACAAACTTGAGCACAAACTTGAAAAGACACTCAATAAGTATACGGATCTATTTAAAAACAGGTTAATATTAAACTGACATCATTTGTGGTATGTAATCTACTCCATTATGGCGAATTAGATTCACCATGCACGTTTTAATTGCAAACTTCATTACCTTCTAAATCTTTCATGGCTTGAAATAAACTTGCATATATTAAAATTAAGTTGTCTCCTGGAGGGGACAATTGAGCTCAATTAGTGAGCCATATTAACAATTCAATTAGTTGACATGTGACGCTTTAATTGTGTGAGAGTTTTCCTATAAGAGTTTTTTTTTTTTTTGGATATAGTATTTTGATCATTTTTCTATTTCCTAGTTTGTCCACCTTTTCTTCTTTTGTTTTCTCTATTCTAATATTTGACTTCTCCCTTGGGTTTCTCCACCCTCTCTCTTCTTTTAATTTCGCATTTTTTTCAGTTTTTTTTTTGTTTCTTGTTTATAGCTCTTTTCATTTTTTACTTTTTCTTCTTTGGCTTTCTTTGTTTGTTTTGGTTTTTTTTGTTTTGTTTAGTCATTGATTTGTTCAACCACTGTTCTTCTTGGTTCTTTTATTTTATTTATTTTGATTTGTGATTTTATTTTTTGTTTTTTGCATTTTAATTTTGTTATTGTATAAATCTTTCTTTGTTTTGTGATATTCAATTTATTTCGATTCTTGGTTTTTGTGTACTTTAGTTTAACTATGTCAATTTGCTTTATGTTTTACTTCTTTAAGTTGGTATTTTGCTTTTGATTTTTCCTTTGATATGCTTATGGTTCGATTTTTTTTTTTTACAAGTTTTATTGTTCGACTTCTGTTTCACTGTTACTTTTCAGGTTTGATTTTTCTTTTATTTATTCTTATATAGTTTTTGTTTATTTATGCTTTTGTTTTTAATTTTTTTTATTTATTCTTACTGTAAGGTTATTTAATTTATTTTTTTGGAAGGTCATGATATTTTTGTCTTTTCCTAACATTATGGATTCATAGTTTTCTTCTTTTCATTTGCTTTAAGAATGAAAGAATGAAGAAAAAGGGGAGAAGGGAAAGGAGGGATCAAGTTAAGGGTCAATAGTGGAAATATAAATATAAATTCAAAATTTTTTTATTTTTTAAATTGATTGAACAGATTAAATAGTGATAAACTGGCTTCTCTCTTATTTTTCTCTTTTTTTCTTCATCTTATGTCCTCACTTATTGTTTTACATTTTACTTATATATTTGATTAATTAATTGAATAATTAATTCCATATTTTTTAATTATCTAGTTTCTATTATTTGGGTTTTTGTTATGTTTTTTATAATATTATTGCTTCTATACAAAAATTAGAAACTTTTAGTGTACGTTTCTAATTTCCTTTCTTTTTATCTCATTTGATTTATTTGTTTAAGCTTTGATTATTTAGATTCTTTATTACTTTTATTTTTATAATATTATTGCTTCCATATAGAAATTAGAAACTTTTTAAGTAAGTTTCCAAATTTTTCTTTTTTTTATCTCATTTAATTAAGTATGCGATTATACTTTTTTATTTTAGACAACAATCTATGGTATTTTTTTTTTGTTTGCAACAGTTTTGTTATATTTTTTCTATTTCATTATTATAATTAGTTTGGATTGTGATATCTGATCTAACTTTCTAAACCTATATTTTCATCCACCATTTCTGAAATTTGAGTTTTCTATTGATTACAACTATCGACACCCTTTTAGAAGTTTTATAAAATTGTGAAAGTATTTTTATCTTTTTAGCGTGATTTGCACTTTTTATGTTATTTTTGTTGCAAATATCTTTGCTATTTGGTTTTTTACTTTATAAATGATTTTTTATTTTTTTTATTATCATGTACAATTTCTTTGATGTTTCCGTTGAAATGTTGTATTTTAAGCATTGTCTGCAACTTTTATGGTATTTCTAATAGGAATTATAAACTAAATAAACTTACAAAAAATAATTCTAATTTACTGTTGATTGAAATTGATGAGGACTTTTGGAGATTTTTATTAAATTATGAAGGTATTTTTGTCTTTTTCACTATGACATGCAGTTTTTATAATATTTTTGCTGAATTATATATTTTTAACATAGCCTGCAACTTCATATAATTCTTTATAGGAACCATAAACTAAATGAATTTACAAAAAAACTAATGTGTGGTAGCTTATTATAGTCTGTAGTTTTTATAATATTTATGTTGTTACCTCTATTTTTTTAGCATGTTATACAACTATTATGACCTTTTTGCATCTTATGTAGAAGTTTTTTTTATGTTCCTTCCATTTCATTATTGTAATTAATTTGTATTGTCAAACCTCAATTTTCATCTACCAAGTTTTCAACTTGAGTTTCCTGTTGATTATAAGTGTTGAGCTTTTGTGATTAGGTTCCCTCTTGGCAAGTCAAATGAAATTTTGTTAATTGCTAAGATCTTTTTTTCAATTGCATTTTACATTCATAATAAAAAATGGTTGACTCTATTATTTGTTTTCTTACTTTCAAGCGTAATGGTTTGATAGTTACTGTACCTTCAAGTGTAGGAAGGTAAAAGCCATCTAAATATTATTTACAATTAGTTATAATTTTTATTCTTTATTTTATTTTCACTTTAATAATCATTCACTATTTTGATTTATCAAATTCAAAGCTTTATGAAAGATGGAATGCTTATTGTAATTATTGAAAAAGAAGTTTCATAGAAACCAAATATTAGATCAATGAAATCATTAAATAAAATCACTTATCATGTATTTTGTATGTTTTCAAGTTGTATAGTGCAATATACATTTACAACTCTTAAATAGATTATCATTTAAATAATTATATAACTTTTGATCTTTTTTGTATAACAATTATGCAACTTTTTCACATTTTCTATGCATTGACAAATAGCTTTATGAATGCTTACCTATACTGAGCACTACATAGTTATTGAAATGTAGATATATTTCAATTATTATTGTTTTACTTATATCACATATGTGTATCGCATAAACATACTCAAGTAAAATTAATAGTTTTCATTTGAGAATAAAGATTTTATAAATTATTTTAAAAAATTTAAATTTATGTAAGTTCATATCTACCAATGAATTGAAATTTTAAATTATAATTACATGTAATATAAATCTTTAAAAAGCATAAAAACTTTTTGATATTTAGTATGATATTATACAAAAAGAGACATTTTCTATTTGGATATTTAAATTTAACGAGTCAATAGAAAAAATATCTATTAACTACATAAAATATCTTACGCTCTTAAGAGACGGATGACATTTTTCGAAAAATTGAAAAAACACTTTTATATTAAACCTATTAATATAAATTTGATAAATATTAATATTTAAATTAAATATTAAAAAATAGTAATATTTAATTTAAAAATATTAACATTTAACTAAAAAATTTTAATTTAAAATATTAATATTTAAATTATTCGATACTATAAAAATATTTAAAAAATTTAATAAAATCATTCAATGTAATTAAAATTTTTATTTATAAATTGAATAAATTTTATTAATAATTATAATAAAAAATATTCCAATCATAGTCATTTAATAAATATACATTTTTTTAATGAATATACATTTATAAATATAAATATTGAATATCTTACATAATTTATAAACATCAATATTTTTATAATGTTATGGAAAAAAAATACAAGATGAATTTTTTTTTGAAAATTAGTGTTTAT